GTGAAAACTTGAATGCCCTTTTATACATAAAAATTTCATAAGGATTTATAACTTATTTTATTAGGTCTGAATCACCGAGCAAAAAGACAAAAGAGGGAATGTAAAGGTAGTGGGGGCAAACATATTGTTAGACAGGAAGTGCGATCTTTAGAGGCCACATTAAACAAGGAAAGAGAGTCTCTCTCCTTGTTTGACACATCGAGCAATAAGACAAAAGAGGGAATGTAAAGGTAGAAGGGGTAAACATATTGATAGACAGGAAGTGCCATCTTGAGAGGCCACTTTAGACAAGGATAGACAGTCTCTTTCCTTGTTTAAGAAGTCAAATTTAGTTTGGTTATGTTATTGTTTGTCCCAACTGTCACATGAAATTTTATTTATATTGAAGTTTTTTACCAATTATGTCACTTTTTAGACTATTATCGTTAATATTTAATTAAAACTTTCTAGTCTGAAAAATATTTTATAGCTATTGTTAACAAATGTTGGAAAATTTAAATTTAGCGCCTTTGCATTTCCGGATGTGTCCGCCATCAGAGGCCACTTTTTTGGTCTCCTTTTTATAACGATTAGATTCCCTCTTTTGTCTTATTGCTCGATGGTTTGACATCAAATTTAGTTGGGTTATGTTATTGTTTGTCCCAAATGTCACATGAAATCTTATTTATATTGAAGTTTTTTAACAATTGTGTCGCATTTTAGACTATTATCGTTAATACATAATTAAAACTTTCTCGTCTAAGACACATTCTGAAAAATATTATATAGCTACTGTTGATAAGTGTCGAAAAATTTAAATTTTTCGCATTCGCATTTCCGGATATGTCCGCCATCAGAGGCCACTTTTTTGGTCTCCTTTTCATAAGGATTAGATTCCCTCTTTTGTCTTTTTGCTCGATGGTCTGAATACTGTTGATATTTATTAACTTTTTTCAAAAATTTAGATTACATAATTCTTTTGCGACAACTACTTGATCGATTGTGCTGAAATTTGGTAGTGTTTTTAATTATATTAAACTTATTTTCTTGGTAAATTTTGAAGGTTTCTATGTAGCTTTTAAATACCTGAAAAATGTTATTTAAAAAACATTAACTTTTGACCCTTTTTTAATGATTTTTGCTGATTTTACAATATTATTATTTTTTCAATTTGCAATTAACCCTCAATCATTTAGAAAATTTAATTAAAACTTTTTTGTCTCCATAAAATTTAAAAATCTAAAATGCATTGCTTAGCTCGAGGTATAGCAACTAAAAGGAGAAAAAAATTGAATTTGTGACAATTTTTTTCTAAAAATTGTTTAATAAAAAAATGTAGCCCACCTTTTGAAGTGTCCACTTGGTGAAATTATCATTTCTAATAATACAGTGCGTTAAGTTTTTGATTAGGTATTGCACACTATACGGAGCACTAAAATCGGCAACGTTGCAAATGTTCGTTCTCCGACCCGAAAATCTACACCGACAGAAAATCATTTATTTTAGTTTAGTAACTCACAACTACGTTAGGGATGTACTTCTCTGTCGTCCGATTTCATGTTTCATTACGTAAAGCCGATTTTAAAAGTAGGAAATTCGATAAAAATGCACTGACCTAATCGATTAGATGCATTGTTATCGATTTTTATTATTGTGAAAATTTTTTTGTGGTTGAATTAAAAATAAAAGCGTATTTCTTTAAAAAGATAAAATAAAAAATATACTCTTATTGAAAATTAAAATATTATTCCTAATAAAATAAAAAATAATTCTTTATGACCTACAGAAATGGTTCAAATAGTTGACCCTCTACGGCTGAACAGTACCCCAATCTGTCATAAAAACTTCTGCGAACAGATGAAAGAGTTTCTGCTGTAACAGAATTGGAGACTTCTCTTATTCGATTTTTTAATTCATCCAAATTTTGGGCTCTAGCCTCAGGATGAGCGTAGTTAATGCTTTTTAAATGTCCCCAAAAAAAGAAGTCCATGTGTGTAAGATCTGGAGATCGCGCAGGCCACTTAATATCGCCTGTTCCACTGATAACTCGATTCGGGAAAGTATTGTTTAAATACTCCCTAATAATTCGAGCGTTGTGAACTGAACAGCCGTCTTGATGAAACCAAACATTCTCCAGATTTACATCAGGAAGATTGAGAATAGCGGGAAGAACATGATTTTGTAACAAATCGAGATATACTCTACTATTCAAGTTGTCCTCAATAAAAAATGGACCTATTATGTGGTCTCCTAAAATGCCAGTCCAGACGTTAACTTTTTGAGGACGTTGAGTTCGGTAAACAACACTTCTGTGCTGGTTTTCCCGCGCCCAATACCTCGTAATGGAAGGATTGTGTCTCCCTACTAACGAAACAGAAGATTCATCAGTGAATAAAATGTTTTTAATAAAATTTGGTTCACTATTAGCCTTCGTTATTAGAGTTTCACAAAACTCCATTCTTCGAAAGTAATCGTCTGGATAAAGCTGTTGCGTTTTCGAATATTTAATATTCTTGTAACCGTGCTTTTTCAATACTTTCGTTACAGTAACATTGCTAACATCTAACTCTGTAGCAACGCTTCTACTTGAACGTGTTGAATCTACCTCGATTGTTGCACAAATTTGTGTATCCCGGTATTCTCTTTCCTCAACTTTTTCTGGTAACACTTCTCGAGCGTGACATTTTCTGCAATTTTTGAGGCAATAACAACTCTCAAAATTTTTAACAATATTATAAATTGACTGTACACAAGGAATTGGTCTTCCCTCAAAAAACACAGAAAATAAATCTACACACTGTTGCGCAGAATTGCCACTATAAAACCATTTTATTATTTGAGCTTTTTCCGCGGCCATATAAACGACATGTTTACAAAAATAAATTAAAACTCTACGCTGTTACAACCACGGTATAATGACAATAGGACAAATTTGCCGACGGGCGACGTGCAACGACGAGTCAACGAAGCAGATATGTAGTGCAAGTTGACGACGCGCAGTGTTGCCATTTATAGAGTGTATACCTAATCCAAAACTTAACGCACTGTATTTCCAAGCGATTAAAGGAAAAAATATGATCATATTATACGATTTACCCAAATGGGGGTAGAGTGTTTTAGAACAGATAGCACCTGGATTAATAATTCTAGTACTTTGTAAATTTCCTTACATCAATACCTAGAGATTTTTATATAAATAGGAACAAATATTGTTAGTCATATATGTAATAGTGATTGGTGTACAATATAATGATTGGTATACAATAATGAACTATGTAAATTAACTGGATTTTTTATAAATCTGTATACAGACTAAGGTTAACACAGAAAATATTGTGTGTCCTAATAATTCTAATTGATAAAGGGACTTAATTTTCATCCAAAATATAGCATTAGCTAAGATGGTAAAACTAACAATATTTCTACATTAAATCACATTCTTTACAAAACTTGGAAAACGTTTGGAAGCAAACTTTCAAAAAGGACGTGAATGATTTAAACTGGGTTATTATAAAATAAGGTATTTTAGTCTTTGTTGTTAATAATTTAAACAACACACGTCATAGTGCTTTTGAATTTGTTGTCGAGATTTGGTGTATAAAACTACAATTCTACTCTATATTTTTATATTGAAATTAAAATAGTACATATTTTTTACCTATGTTACAGAGATAATATCTGACTCAGCAGTGTCCGCTTATATTGTGATTCCTTTGAGTTCAGTTTTCTGAAGCTCTAAGAATATTTTTGCTAAGGGATTAGAAGTGTAATAATCTTTTACTACTACCTAATAGGCTGCAACAATTCCCCTTTCCTATTTTCATACATCTTCCACGATGCGGCTCTTTCGAATACTGCAGAATGGTTCTGGTTCTACAGAACCAGATATACTAGTTCATTATTAATACTATCAGCAAGTTCGTTACCAGCAATTTGCTTATGCCCTGGTACCCATAACAAAGCAACTTTTTTGTGTTTCGATAGTTGCCTAAGGTGCTGTTTTTAGATCCAAGTTGTTACAGACTTACAAGTTTTAGACTTCAGGTTCCTTAGTACAGGTTGACTGTCAGAAACTATATAAATATTTTGGTATAATTTAGATGTTTAGTGTTAGTACCATTAACAGCTATTATACTTCCTCATATGTTTTTGGCCCTTCAATATAGTTATTTTGTGTTAACTTATACTCGTTTGTAACATTTAGTAAGAGTTCGAAATCTTCTTTTGCAGTCATAATGTTTGTGGATTGTATTTGCTCTCGATGCCCTGGTATCTCAACCTTGTTCCGACCTCACAGTTCATTCATTTCTCTGATGCAGTCTCACACCAGTCTAGTGCCGCTTGACTGTCTGACAATATATGAATCTGTTCTTTTTCAAGAGAGTTCTCATTATTTCCCGTTGCACATCGCATAAATCTCCCCTTGAAAAACGGTTCAATTCTTCCCCAAAGGAAAGGATTTCGCTTAAGCTCTTGGATTTTTGAAGTATATTCCTACCCCCACACCCTCTCCAATTTTGGATCCGTCGGTATACCAGATCTTACCTTGCTGGTTGTGGTATTCCTTGTTTCCCCATGCATCCCTGTCTGAAGATGTTCTTCATCACAGTCCTTGTGATACTCATATTTACCCTGTCGCTTCATGCAAAGTTTCAGTGATTGTTTTATTCTGTAGGCTCTCAATCTTGCCTCTCCTTGGATCATCAAATGCAAGGGAAGCAAATCTAGTAGAGCCTCCATAGATGTTGGTGGAATATTGCGCATGGCAACAGCTATCCTCAGACACGCAAGTCTCTGCACTTTGCATAATTTGACTTTTGTAACTGTTTGAAGTGTCTTAGTCCACCACATCATCGCTGCATAGGAAACTGAGCGGATGAATGTAATTATATTATTTAAAAAATATGCATTTTCTGTGTTCGCCTTCTTCTGAAATCATTTTCATTCAAAGGGGGAACTAATAACAATATTTAAAATATACAATTAAGTATTACGTTTTTTCTAAATATTTATTCTTTCAGGCGAATCCAACGTATACACTCTTGGTAATATAGGAGCACATAGAATCGTGTGCACCAAGTTACCGTCTGTCGGTCACACTAGAGAAGCGATGACAGCTGCCGGTAATACAACTACAAGACTCTTAGGAACCTTCCAAAAAGTGGACTACGTATTTTTAGTGGGTGTTGGAGGTGGAGTGCCACATTATACGGATTACAATAGACATGTAAGGCTGGGCGATGTTGTTATATCGTCTCCTGTGAAAAACAAGTGCGTATGATATTCTTCAATATTATTATACCTAAGTAATTTAAGATGATATTTTTAAGAGTTGATCAATTGATAATGGTGATCAGTTAATTAGTTCAGCATGTGTCAAAATGTGAAAAATATGTTTTAATAATTTTACTACAATACCGGTGGTAATAAATTGTAGGATTTTGCGAAATATGGAAATCATTATGTTAAATTCAATATGAAATACTTTTATACTTTTATCTAATATTGCCAACTACAAAAAGTAGAATGCCAACTAAATAAAAGTAATAAAATATTAAATCTTAAAGCTTAGCTAACTACATAGTTGCTAAACTGATTTGCTTCAAGTAAAATACTGCTTTAATTTAACCCTTTCATTACTGATTTAATTGTCGCTAAATAAAACTGTTTAAAATGACTTTAATGATATTCGTTGATACATACAGACTTAACAAAGCAATTGATTTTTTTACATTGTTGTTTGTCCTTGTATCCTTAGAAAGAACATGGGTAATATATGTCCCATTAGTGTTGAATGGTGGGATAAATAAATCCCATCAGTAAAGAAGCAAACTTATATTCAAAATAAAAAAAGTACATTACACAAAAAAAAACATTACTTTTTATGAATGTGTGTGTGGTAAAAAAACAATGTTTGCATAGAGGCACATTGCACGTACAAATAGTCGTAGTTCGAGTTTCTGATTTATTTTGTTCAACATTTAAAGCATCTTCGCCTTGTAGTTATTTGTTGTGGCAAATGGTCTCCAACGTTGATCATCTGTTTCTGTCGTTAAGATATTATTTCAGAACGGCCACTTATTCGTCATTTTTACATTCGATTTCGATATTCCTAATTCAATTAGCTGTTCTGCTGGTACACCAGAAAATTCAAAAGTGAATTTTTTTTTATCTTGTTGTACACTTCTTTTATGTAAATCCTTGTAAATACTCACAAGAATTTACAATAGCGTACATAACTAATCTATAAAAAACTTTTCTCCACCATTTCGCAGATTTTCGGTCCATATCATATGTGCTAACGTTTTCATTTGCGATATCTACTCCTCCCATAAAATTATTGTAAAAAATAATTGCTTTTGGACAAGTGAACTCAGCCTTTTGTCCAGTTTTCAGCTTTCCCTTTTGGTTTCCAGGTGAAACCAAAAGCTACATATCACCCATTAACATCTTGTTATTTATAAATTTACGTTGATGAAATAAAAGGCAGATATCGAGCACAATTTTATTAATTTAATCTTGCCCAAGTACTTTCTACTAGTGTAGTATGATGCACAATTTTATGTTTATAACATTTTATTCTTGTTGGATAGGCCACAATTGACGAAATGCTCCTGAAGATGCTCTAGGGAGCGAAAGTACTTGGGCAAGATTTAATTAATAAAACTGTGCTCGATATCTGCCTTTTATTTGATCAAAGTTCATTTATTCGAACATTCAACCTTATATCAATTTTCAAATTTGGCTACGTTTACCTGATTTGCCATATAGGTTCCTAAACATGGAAAATTTAGGGTGTTTAGTAGGTTGAACGAAGTGAAAAATCTCTCAAAGCATAGACACACATCTGGTGACCGTATGGTGTGGGATAGAGTTTCAACAACTCGTTCTTCTAGAGTTCCAGTGGTTCGTGTAAATTCTTTTCCCGAGGAAATATTCAAATCGTATTTATATCCTGTGAAAAAATCACTTCGTTGCCACATTTTTATACCTCTTTTTACTGGCTTCATAGGAAGATACTACTTCAAGACAGATTTTCCTTTGAACTTCATTGATTCGTCAATGGACTGATCGGAACTCTCAGTCCTCGCCTTTACAAAAGTTTGTTTCAAACAAGAACTTACTTCATCGATGTAGTATGTTTTTAATGTATTACCATTTCTTTCAGGATTATTATAGTAGGACTTAGATAGCAGGAATAACCAGCGATCTCTTAAAATAGATCTTTTTTTATGAGGGAATTCGAAATTGATTCGTTTTGTGACCAGTAGTGTGAGATAGATGGTACTTTATGTAACACATAACCATATTACAACCAATCACTGTCATAATTTCGTACAAATCTGTTTTATACTGCTATTCTTTGATTTGTACAGGAAGCAATGTGCGTAAATAAACTCCGCGGAAATAATGTTAGGAAAATATCAACAGGACGAGAACCTTTATCAATATTCAGTATTATTATTACATTTCTTTGAGTATGAATTTCTTTTTTTAGACAAGAGTTTGTATTGGTTATATGTCATCGTGCAGTCAATTTATTCCTTTTAGAGTCATCTTCAGATATTTCTGCTTTATCAGAACTTTCTTCGTCTGAAGCAGTGATGTTTACATCCACACGGTCAGGAGTATTCTCAGGTACTTCACCAGAATCTGAGGCAGAATCGTCACCAGGTACATAATCAAACCCTGAGGCAGCATAAGGTTCTTCTTTGGATTTATTTTCATAAATATTTGAGAGGTTTTCAATTTCTTCTTGAAGCTCTTTTTGTGTTACGTCTACGTCTACGTGCTCTTTTTGTGTTACGTCTACGTGCCATAGTATGTTTGCAACCGAACAATACGAATGGGATAAATACGACCCGGCATAAACTCTTACTGGGACACGAGAGTCCTGTTTAGAAATTATGGTAAAATCTATGTAAACAATGTCAAAAATAATATATATATATATATATATATATATATATATATATATATATATATATATATATATATATATATTAACCTGTGTTAATCAGCAACTAAATTATATATAATCGGTTAAAAAAACAGAGCAGCCACTTTTTTTTTTATTAAAATTGTGTTATTTATAAGTTGTTGATGCACGTGTTTAACTAACATCAATTTATAGATTACAGACGTGATATGTAGGTTGCACACTACTAGGTAATGAGTAAGGAATGTCTAAAAATACGGATGCGTTCAAATCTTATGGGCTTTGAGGACAAACAGATCCCAGCAGATTTTTTGAAATCCACTGTGACATATGTGTCTCTACAGTAATGAAAGGGTTAAAACCAATAATGAGATTTAGCGTTTTCATATAAATGAAATTTGTTTCAGTGCATGACAATATTCATTGTAATATACATATTTTTAGGAACATATATTTCTATTGCGAATCAGCAAAATCGACGGACAAAGGCAACGAATTTGAAATTAAACCCTACAGTCCATCGAACGTCAAACTCCAGGAAATAGCTACACAATTAAAACTATCGACAGATGCAGACAGTGGGCTAACTCCACCTTGGTTAAATTACTTGAGAGACGGCTTAAACATTTTGAGTAATCAAACGGAACCGGACTTCAAAATGCCCGATAGTGAGACTGATAAGTTGTATATGAGTATAGGAGAGAAGGACTTGATAGAGGTTGCACATCCCGTGCCTCATGATAATTCTAAAAAAAGGTGAGTCAATTTCTTAACATATTTTATAAATAGCATCTTGTTGTTATAAGTATAATATGAAGCAAATGTATGGAAATTCAGTTATTTCAGAAGCTACTAACAAGATATTTATAAAATTTGTTTTATAGGAGTATAGTAGCGTAATGTGGCCAGTCTTCATATGGTATTTGCATTGTTATCAAATCTTTTGGTTTTACGATAGTAAAGGGAACTTTTTTTAGTGGATCGTTCTGTATATTTTATGATAGATTACCTAAGTAATTTTGAATGTTGTGCATGTAAATTTACCTATGATTAACCCTTTAACTGCCATGTGCGTCATATCGACGCACACGATTTGTGTATTATAAACTGTTCTAATTTAGCTTGCCAATTAAAGAGTTTTTAATGTAACAGTTTCAGAAGTAAGTTTTTCCAAATAATTAATATTATTTTTGTACTTTTGTACCACTGATATTTTGAATGAACTAATCTAAAATACATATATTTCCAAAATATTATTTATTGACTTTTAAACAAAAAAACAATACCATCTTTAAAACCACGTAAAACATTGTGCAATATGTCTGCCTATTCATCTTATCTTTACCATTATTCTGTCTTTCAATTATTTATTATTGGCGGGCTTTATTTTGTACATCGTGTTCTATAAGTGACCCCGTAAAAATAATATAATATATTTATATCAGCTCACCGTGGGGGCCATTTGATAAAACCAAATCGTCCAGTCCACCTTCTGCTAATAATGAGTTATAAGATATAGTTTACAACATTTCGTGGGTTCTAGTGTCCTCAAGAATTTCTCTCCAGTCCTATCCATCGCCTTCCTCCGCCAAGTACATATTCCCATATTTCTCATGTCTTCATCAATGTTATCAAGGAACCTTGTTCTAGGTTTTCCTCCTCTTCTCTAACCAATGGATTTAAACAAGAGCGTTTTTCTGGCTGGGTCATAGTGATGATGATGAGGGATTTATTTGTCCATATTTCTTTTATAAACTGCTGTAATTCAATTAAGGTATCCTGGCCATCTTCTTTATATATACTTCATCTAATTTAGATAACGACTTACGTCATTATCTACGTCAGAGATCGAAGTTGACATAGTTGCCAAAGTATAAAAAAATCCTGACTCCATTTTAAATCAAATAGATTACATAATTATTGCAAAAGTATTACCATCTCTTTATAACGACTATTTAAATTCTTACGTGACATTTTTGAAATAAAACACACCAATTTTGTTCTAAAAAGAACAGATTTTATTAGATAGTTAAAAATATAAAACAAGAGATATTCACTTTAAAATTCAAAATAATGAAGTACAAAAAGTGTCAACACCGCAACTGTCAAATAAGTGTTACCAATTTATGCCAAAACTTTACCTTCGTTCGATTACAGTTACAGTGTGTTCCGAACAAATGTTCTTGATAAAAACGCTTTATAATGCATTTATACAAATTAAATGAAACACATTATTGTGTATTTCTTCAAGTTAACATTAATAGAAATTTTTAAATATGATTTCTACGCGTATATAATAAAATATGTCTAGTGGCTGTAATGTCAGTGTACTAGGTAAAGTGGTTCTAAAAAAGAACACACCTACACCCTAAATATTTTGTATTGGTATCATGTGACCCCACAGGCTATGACGCCGATGACGTGCATCGTTATATAAATTAGATGAAGTGTAGTTCAGCTGAGGGATTATCTGTTCCGCGTGATGTTTTTTAAGTCCATATTTAACTTCGTTGGAGCTTCCTCTTTCCTCTCGAATATTGCCCTTACCTCGTCTCAACAATGATAATAATATATTACATATCTTTGAAACGTCAAAATGTATACAAATATTGTGGCGATCAGAGCCGTTATGCGCATGTAGAACAAAGGAAGTGTTGCATAAAAGAATTTAATATTTCTTAGGTAACTTAAAAATCGTAAAACATGTAGGATTATCCATTTGACAAAACTAAGATCCCGATATTATTTGAAAAGTCAAGATATGACAATAGCGCAAATACTATGTAAAAATGGGCTATATTTCAAAACCCCTACAGAGTAAAATTCGTAATTATCCTATTCACCATTTCTGAAATAACTCAGTCGTTCCATACATTTTCTTTATGTTTTATTAAATCCTACTTAAGTTTGAATTTGAATTGATCTATACGCATTTTCTTTTTCTCTATAAATATAGTTTGCTTCGAAATTGTTTCTTAAGGTACCAGTAATATTTTTACACTGTATCTCCTCTACATAACGGGTGACCATCGATTACCATAGGCCTTCGGTAAACATAACTATCATCCGTAGGAAGTTCATATTTCTCGTGCATCGACACAATCTACAAAATGCGTTAAACATTATTGCTAAGCCTTCTCGAACACAACTCTTGGGGTTCTCGACATAGATGTTTGTGATCATGGGAACTCCTATGTTTTTTCCAGCATTTGTCATATGATGGAAGTCTTGTCAATAGTTGGTCTGTTCTTTCTGAACCCACATTGATAGTCGGCAGTGATATCTTTCACAAACGGAATTATGCGATTAAGGAGGACATTTGCAAGTACTTTGTATGTTTTGTTAAGTAGTGATATTTATCTGCAATTGCTCTTCTTGTCGTATAATAATCAATTGATGTAGCTGTTGATGGAGTGCATCTCCTTCGTATTTAAGGCGTGCCTGAAGGTATGCCGTCGTTGCCAGGTGTCTTGTTGTTTTTTAAACTTTTAGTTGCCCTTTTTATCTATTCTAGAGTGATTATTTCCACTATAATAGCAGATCTGCTGTATAATAGGGAGGGGTGAGGTATTTTCCAGTGTGTGCTAAGTAGTTTTTGAAAATATTTCCTCCAAGTATCTACAATTTACGTGTCATTTGTTATTAAGGTATCATCTTTCCTTTTTAGTATGTCTCCTGTTCCCGGTTTTAATCCCTTTTTTTTCGTTGGACTCTTCGTTGTAGAATTCTCTTATTTTATTGTTGTTACTTTTTATTTTTATTTCCTTTAGTATCTCGTTCAAGTGCACTTTATTCGTTCTGGTGTAGTTTGTCGTTTTTTCCCATATTGAATCATGTTTTGTTCAGATGGGTTTTGTATGTTTTTAATTCGCGCTAGTTTCCTTTGCTTTATTAGGTCCTTACTTTCTTCATCGAACCAATCTTTTTACTTTTTTTTTCTTCCTCAGACATTCCCCATTTGTTTTTACTGTAGTTATTTCTAGTAGCAATACTCATATTGTGTATTTCCTCGAAATGAAACTGTCTGAAGTGTCGAATAAATATTTTACAGATTAGTATAACAGACTGAAAACTTAACTCACATTCGATATTCGTTATTAAATCGAATAGCTGAATTAAATCCACCCTATAATTTTCCGCAAATTCCGAAATCTGCTTAACCTGTGGTGGGTAACTGGTCAGTTATTAATCTTTTTAGTTACCCAGATGTGTGAAAATTTACTCACAAATTATCCAAGTGTACCATCACTATATAGTGTATTGTTATTATTCGTCAATACTAGGAACGACTTTCGAAATTTTGCCCATCTGTGCAAAGAGCAGACAGAGAAAGTATTCGGTGAGAAAGAAATGGATGAATGCCGGACTCGTCCACCTGATTTTTAAACATACTTTACAGCTCGAGCTTACTTCTATTACTAAGATAATTTCAGGTAATTTGTAGATTTTTTCGATTGTAGAATTTTCAAAGTCGTTCCTAGTTTTGACAAACCGTATCTGTTCCTCATTTTTATAACCTGCATTTACGAGTTGCGTCATACATTAAGCTTGAATAAAAATAGTTATTACAGTTTTTGTATATATTGTATATATTTTAAATCCTCCAAAGTATTGTTTAACATCTTGAAGATATGTAGCTTAGAATATTTTACTACTTTTTCTGTGTTTCTTTTTTGCTTTCGAATAAAAGATCAACAAAAAAGGTGGAAATCCGAAGATACCATACTGTAAGACCTGTTGTAAATAGTTTTAGAAAACCACTAAAGACTGTATCTTTTACTACACCTAGAACCATATTGAGAAGGAGAACGTTTATAAGGTGTGACGTAATGAATTATTAAAGTGTATTTGCACATTATATTTTTATGTTTGTAAATTGTTAAAACCTGGTTATATACACGTATTGCATTTTAAATATATTAAAAAGCTAACTTTGTGCAAAGGTAAAGTTTAAACGAAAATTAATAATTATGTAAAATATACTGAGCTTGTAAATATTTTAGGTTGTATAATATAAAGTTTTCCATATGGTATAGACTTAATTTATATGGGAAACTTATAAATTTTATGGAAAAAAGTTATTCTTTATTAAAATATGTGCATGTTTTAAAACCCAAAATACAATCATCAGATATTAATTTTTTCAAAAGTATGTTTTGTCAAAAGTATGAATTGTGAATATGTTGGTTACGTGCCTGAATAGTTCAATTGAACTGCATCCAAACAATTCACGGATATTGCGTAGCCACGAGATTTGACGTCTTCCTACGCTTCTTCTGTCTTTGATTTTACCCTGCATTATATTCCTTGATAGTTCGTATTTTTCGCCTCTCATGATGTGCCCCAAGTATTCCAATTTCCTGATTTTTATGGAATTTAAAACTTCGCATTGTTTCCTAGTTGTTTTTTTAAGTATCCAAGCTTCAACCCCATACAAAAAGATAGAGAAAATATAACTCGAAGCATTCTTATCCGGAGCGATATATTGATATCTTGATTACAAAAAAGCTTTCTCATTCTATTAAAAGTTGACCGTGCAATTTCAATGCGGCATCTTATCTTCGTCTGATCAGTATCTTCTGTGATCCATGCTCTAAGGTATTTGTACGAAGATATTTGTTCAATTTCTGTATTATCTAGTACTAGCTTAACTTTGATGTTTTGTACTTTTGTAAATACCACGAACTTGGTTTTCTTCAAATTTATTTTTAGTCCATAATCGTTGCAATATATATTTAGTTGCTCAGCAAGGTGTT